CATTGTACTAGGTAATTTGGAACTCTCCGGGAGTCGTTGTGACTTTGGGTATTGTAGGCGGATTAGAGTTGATAAAGTTGAGGGGGCTATGCGTAAGATGAGCAAGGATAAAGCGACTGGACCGGATGAAATTCCGGTGGAGTTTTGGAAGAGTGCGGGCAAGGCAGGCGTGGAGTGTCTCAATAGGTTATTTAATATCATGTTTAGAGCGAAGAAGATGCCCGAAGAGTAGAGGTGGAGCACGATGGTTCCTGTATACAAGAACAAGGGTGATATCCAAAATTGCAATTACTATCGGGGTATCAAGCTGCTTAGCCATACTATGAAAGTCTAGGAGAGAGTGGTAGAGCTAAGGGTGGGGAGGAGTGTGTCTATTTCTGAAAACCAATTTGGGTTTATGCCCGGCGTTCGACTAAAGAAATCATCCACTTTGTTAGGAGATTGATGGAGCAGTATAGGGAGAGAAAGAAGGACTTGCATATGGTGTTCATCGATACATGTATGATGGAGTAAAGACCCAAATGAGGACGGTGGGTGGGAACTCAGACCATTTTTTGGTTATGATGGAGTTGCACCAGGGGTCGGCACTCAACTCTTTTTTTGTTTGCTTTGGTGATGGACGTACTGACGCGTCACATCCAATGGGAGGTGCCGTGGTGCATGCTATTTGCAGATGATATTGTATTTATTGATGAGATGCGAGACGGTATGAACGCGCAATTAGAGGTATGGAGGCAGACCTTGAAATCTAAAGGTTTCAAGTTGAGCAGGACCAAGACATAATACTTGAAGTGTAAGTTCAGTGGCGAGACTCAAGGAGGAGAAGGGGAAGTGAGACTGGACTCGCAGGCCATCCCTAGGAGAGGGAGTTTTAAGTACCGTGGGTCTATTATTCAGGGGGGTGGAGAGATTGATGAAGATATCACACATCGTAGTGGAACGGAATGGATGAAATGGAGACTCGCTTCCAGTGTTTTGTGTGACAAGAAGGTGTCACCGAAACTTAAGGGTAAGTTCTATAGAGTGGTGGTCAGACCAACGATGTTGTATGGGGCTGAGTCTTGGCCAGTTAAGATCGCTCATGTCCAGAAGATGAAGGTAGCAGAGATGAGTATATTCAAATGGATGTGTGGTCACACCAGGTTAGATAGGATCAGAAATGAGGTTATTCGCGACAATATGGTTGTGGCCCCTATTGAGGACAAGATGCGGGAAGCGCGGCTTAGGTGGTTTGGTCATGCGAGGAGGAGGAGCACAGACGCCCCGATGAGGAGATGTGAGAGGTTGACATTGGAGGGCATACGAAAAGGTAGAGGTAGGCCAAAGAAGAGGTAGGGAGAGATGATTAGGCAAGACATGGCGCAGTTTAAGCTCACCGAGGATATGACCCTTGATAGGAAGGTATGGAGGTCGAGGATTAGGATAGTAGAGTAGGTAGTCTAGATTGTTCGTAACAGTAATATTGGCACGCAGTCTTGCTTTCTGTTGGTAGTAGATTTTTTATGACTAACCGTTATTTTTTTTCATTGTTGATCACATTACTGTCTTGTTGTTTTTATTTTGTTTTTATATGGCTTTTTAGTACTGTCTCTTCTTGTATATGTTTTCATTAATGTGGTGCTTATGATTTTCTGAGTCGAGGGTCTATTGGAAACAACCTCTCTATCCTCACAAGGTTGGGGTAGGGTCTGCGTACACACTACCCTCCCCAGACCCCACGATGTGGGATAATACTGGGTATGTTGTTATTGTTGTTGTTGTTGTTGTATACAATCCGGAAAAAAAATTATACAACCTACATTCGGTAAAAATATATTTCTTTCTGTTTTACTTAATTTGACCTTATTTGACTAGGTACAAAGTTTAAGAAAAAAATAATACGTTTTTAACTTGTGATTGAAAACATGTTATAATATTTGCGTGACTATAAATATTTTGATGAAACTTGTGATTTAAAATATAGCATATCATTTGTGTGACTATAAAAAATTCTCATTAACGGTAATATTATAATCCCAAATTAAGAGTTCTCTTATTAAGAAAGTGTTCCTTCTTTTAGAAACTCACTAAAAAGAAGCATGTTCACAATCATGGAGCATGCCTACAATTTTTCATACAATTATGTGTCGTCTGTATTTTATAGGCAAAATACATCGACCGACCATTAAACTTGTACTCCCTTTTTACTATGATACTTAATCTTGAGTCTGTTCCATTCGAACACTTTAATCAAGCATTTACTGTGTCATTTTGCCCCAAAATTAATATACAGCAAAACACATATGGTGTGTGTTATTCACATGTCGAGTAACGAATAAAATGGAGACACGTGGATTTAACTTAAATAAAAAAAACTTTTACAAAAAGAAGAAAACTAAAAGAAAAACAAAAGCCTGCCCGATAAAAGGTTCTACCGCCGCCACCCCATCCTTTCGTTTTCTTCCCCGGCGACCTTCCTTCTTTCGTCTTCTTCTTCGGCGATCCCCCTACTTCGCGGTGAATCTATTTTCAAAAGCCGGTAGAAATGTTTAAAATCCTATCCCAAATATCCATAACTATGAATGATTAACTATTTTAATATAGTTGTGGTGGTGATTCTTGCGGCTGAGGTGGTAATTTGCTTCTGTAAATTCGGTCGGCGATAGTAGGAATTTTTGCTGTTGCCATATTTCTCGAAAAGAAAGCAAATTGATTTTCAGCTTCTTCATTTTGATGAAAGCGGGCTATTGGAGGTGATGGACTTGGGTTTGGCATTTCTACATTCCTTTGCATATTTGGGTTTGTTTTGCATTATATATTTTTTATAGTAATTTGTCTGAGGGAGAGAATGGAAAGGGATTAAAAAATTGAAGAAATCAGTTGCCAAAAAAAATTGTTGGTTACTCCATATTTTCTGACGAAGGAGGGTGAGGTAAGAGAGGAAGAAAAGAAAAAAAAGAGTAAGAAAAGAAAAAAAAATTAACGAGAAAAATAATGAGAAAAAAGGTGAGGAGTTTGTTTTTTCGGATCATTTCACGCGCTTGAAAAATGTGAAACATTTATTTTGCCATGTCAGCTTTTGGGTCTAAATGACACAGTAAATGCTTGAGTAAAGTGTTCAAATGGAACAGACTCAAGATCAAGTGTCATAGTAAAAAGAGAGGACAAGTTTAATGGCGTGGCGATATTTTTTGCATATTTTATACTATGTATTTTGTATGTGATGTTCTCATATGGAGGGAGTATTATATTAGGTAATTAAAAATTTCCATAATAATAATTAATTTTATTATTTTACATAATTAGGTAAAATCTCAAGGTTGGTTTCGAACAGTGAGCTTGGGGCCTTCCTAGGAAAATGTCTTTCTGCTTCTCTTTGCTGCCTTCACCGTTGTCGTTTTTTAATATTTTTCCTTTTCACATTGGTTTCTTTTGACCTTTTTCACATTGATGTCTTCACCGTTAAGATATCAATTTTTTTACCATGTTTATTCTTTTTCATGTTTCATGTAGGATATTATTCATTTGTTAAGAAAGAAAGCTTGATCGAAGCGGACAAGTTTTTATGTAGAGAATTATATGGGTTAAAAATTATCCTAATTGAAGTTCACGCCATATTAGCACTAAGAGAGCTTTCAAGGGCTGTCACACGTCACAGAATGACTTCAACAAAAGGTATGTTCAAAATGGAAGTGATCTCACAAGAGATGAACGGCGAGGTTAAGGAGTCAACATAGATCAAGGTCGAGGACGAGCACTCGTCTTAAACGGAATAATAACGGCTAGTTTTAGGATAATATTTTAAAAAGAATATTCCAATGTATATTCTCTATATCTGTACTATTAGAGTTATTTGGCATATGTTCTCTTATAAATAGAAAGAGACATAATTATAAGGGATACGAAATATTCATTTGTAAAAAAACACATTGACATTCTCTGTAGAATCTTGCTTTATTGCACACATACAAAATATATATTTTTCTTGAGATTCTTGTCTAACCGAATATTCAAAGGCCCATCAGTCATTCATCATGGTGAGAAACAATATCCACAAACATCACCCTTTAGGGTACTCACATGTTCTTATTTACTTAAATGTCATTCATTGTTATTTATTGTTATCTTCTTTCTTTTTGGGTCATTGAATATTGCTAGTGATATTATCATTTATTGCTCTCTAGATAATATACGTATTATCTTACTACCAAATCGGTTAATATATCTTTTGGATATTAATATTGCTAAGATTGACTCCATCTTATTAAATCTAATTATTTAAACCCAGATCTAAATATTGGGTCAAACAGTTTAGCGTCGTCTGTGGGGACTTCTTAGCTAATATTTTAGTTTTCATTATATCTACAACCTACGTGATTTCCTAACCTATAGAGCCACAAAGCATTTCTTTCTACTAGTATAGAAACTTCCATGGCAGGTAACCAAAGAAATGGAAAAAGGGCGACACGTGACGTCCCAAGTAACCTCATCAACGAGAGCTATGAGACACTAGGTGATGATGTGACGCCCACTACCTCCCCCAGGTGCGAGAGGTCACCTCCCCCTCACTACAACACAACGAAATCAAATGGAAAATGGGCCTCCATGTCCACAGGAGAAGGAACGCCACCTGCCGTGAAAAATCTCCTCTAGGCATAGTTGACTGATACCTTAGTAAGTGTGCTCAACAAACAAGCCCCATGCACGACTGTAGAAACCATGAGATCCCATATGGCATAGCGAGGAGATGAACAGGCAATCAACCTAACCCTCCAACGTTAGGTATAACTCACAATGGTACTGACAGTGCAAGTGACGGTGCCCTCGCTGCTATTTTAAAAAGAATGGAAGAAATGGAGAATGAGAACAAAGAGCTCAAAGAACAAATGAAGGAGCATCACGAATGAGTAGACAAGATACCGGACACCCCTAAGTTATTGCCAAAGAGGCACGCTGGTAGGTTCGTAGAACAACCGTACAATGAGGAAGTGGCTCCACATGCAATACCAAAAACCTTCAAAATGCCAATGTATCTCAGAATATATGATGGGACAACCAATCCCGAATACCATATAACCCATTATGTCATCGCCGTGAAGGGCAATGACCTCAGTAAGGAACATGTGTCCTCCGTTCTGCTGAAGAAATTCGGTGAGACCCTCACTAAAGGAGCATTAACATGGTATTCACAACTGCTAGCTCGCTCCATAGAAACATTCGAAGATATGGCCGATAAGTTCGTGACCGCACATGTCGGGGCCAAGAAAGCCGAAACGAGAGTGAACGACATTTTCGCCATCAAGAAATTCCTAGGAAAGGGGCTGAGGGACTTCCTTTCCCGATTCAACAGGGTGAGAATGACTTTACCAAATGTGTCCAAGGGGATGGCGGTCGCAGCCTTCCAGAATGGGATGGGTAGAGAGGGATCAAGAGCAACTAGAAAGCTACTGATCCGGTTGACGTATCCTCCAACCACTTGGGACGAAATCCATAATACATATTATACCGAGGTCCGAGCAGATGATGACGACCTCAACGGATGAATTCAATGACTAATCTCGGTACAAACTGAGCCCAGGAAAGAACGAATAGATAATGCGAGGAGGAATCATCCAATCTCACGGCCAAACAGGAAACGACTTCAGCCTTATGTCAAGGCACCCGTCCTTCCTCCTATTCGCTATGATGATGGTCCGTCTAGGTCGAGGACGACGACTCGCATGAACAAGAGAGGTATGCCATCATTGTTATCTTCTCACAATTTTTGTGTTTCGCCTACAGAAATCATCTATGCCCTGGAGAAACTTGGAACTAAGGTGAAGTGGACGCCAAAGATAAGGTCTGACACGAGTACCAGGAAATTTGATGCCCTCTGCGAGTTCCACCAGGAACGCGAACACAAAATAGAAGATTGCATCGCATTTAGGCAAAAGGTAGTGAACATATTGCAACAAGGGCACCTCAAAGATCTGGTGAGCAACAAAGGAAGGAGTACCTTCGCCAGGGGTCAAGAACGTTAAGGCCCACCGAAGTCGCCCTTATTAGCTCGCACCATCAATATGATCATTGGTGGAAGCGACGATGCTTTCATCAACACCGTCAAGTTCATTGCCACTCACAAGCTCAAAATATCGATCCTCTACGAACGGTATAACGGACTCGAAGAAAGTATCATCTTCGACGAGCCAGATGTCGACGGTTTGACTTTCTCTCATAACGATGCTCTAGTCATTGCCTTACGAATTTTAGATATTGATGTTAAATGTATCATGGTAGATGTTGAGAGTAGAGTGTGTATTATCCATCCCCGAGTCCTCGCCTAGATGAGACTCAAGGATAAGATAGTGCCACACTACATCACACTAATATTGCACCCCATATTTTTGTACGTGAAAGTATATCGTAAGTCAATTAATTTTGAAAGTATATAAAGTGATTTACTGATGTTACATTCCATTTTCGCAAGCCTTTAAGAGTTATCATTCGGGAGAAAATATTGCTAAGGGGACATGTTGTTACACCCCATACTTCAGACGTCACTGTCATTATAGGATTATCTAAAGTAAGCTCAAAAAGGACGAAATCCTTCTACAAGGATAAGAAAGGTTTACCGAAGTCTTAAGTAAGTTAAGATGAATATGAGACTTTTTAATCATTATTTAAATATGTTTAAAGTCATGATATGACTATATATTATGTTTGGATATGGAAAATAAAGTTTGGGAAAATCGGATTTAAGTTGCGAAAAAATCGAGTTAAGATTTGCCTTGTAACGAGCCGTTTTGAGAAATTAATTTATAAGTTTTATGATATCGTTTTGGGACATATATCATATCACAATGAAGGTATATGAATGTAGTTTCCAAAGGTCTAAACCATTTATTCATACGATATCGGAGTAAAGAAATATAGATTTTTAAAATAGCGTCGCCAAGTCACGTCGCCACACTTCGGAGAAACTGGCAGGTTTATAGGCCAGATTGCGAGGAAGTTTTTTCCAAATATATTGAGAGTTACAGGTATAAATTTATATTGAATTAAAGCCCCATGTGTCTAGTTTCTAATGTTTTAAACCGTTCATCAATACGACATCATTGTAGAGAGATATTTACGTTTTCGCGAGACTGCAGGAGGCCCATATGGGACCCACTTGGCCGGGGCCTAATCTTCACTTATTCTTATCTCGTTTTTGGGATGAGATTTGCTCATTTTTCGTTCTCCTTCCATACTCACACTCTCCAAACTCTCCCAAACAGCTCCCCAAAGTCTCCAAACAAATTCCAAAGGAATACACCATAATCAAACATTAAAAGTTAGCCTAAGTGAAGAAGAGAGTCTCTATGGTGTCGTGATGTGATTAAGGGTAGTTGTAAGATAAGGGAAGCTTTGGTTCAAGTTTTTCTAGATTCTTTAAGGTATTTATAACACACTATTTCTTGGGATTAATCTTATCTATGTGTTGGTTAAGTTATTCGATGAAGATTACAAGATAACACTAGAAAGGGGAAGAGTTGTTGTTATCTTTTGTTGGGTTGTTTTAAGGCTCTCTCTCTCTCTATATATATATATATATATGTTGTTATGGCTGAAATTTCAAGTTGTATCTACTGCCTAAGGTATGTAAATCATTTTCTTGGTTGTTCTTAAGTTTAATCATGTGTTGTTTGAGTTAAATTCTTCAAGATAGTAATTGACATGGCATAAGGAATCGTTATCTTTTTTTGTGGGCTGTGTTGAGGCCATATATATGGTTGGTTGTGGCTGGAAATTGTTATAAATAGTTTGATTATGTTCTGGCTGCTGTTGTTAAGCTTATCTATGTGCTAATTAAGTGGATTGAAGAAGATAACATGAAAAACAAGAGGTTAACGATAAATGTTAAGGTGCTAGGCGTGTGGACTATTTTTGAAGAATATTCTTATGATGTTTTGGGATGAAAATGATATGGGAAGCATAAGTATGATGTTATACAAGTTTTAGGCAGATTCATGGAAAAGGAATTGGATTAAATTATATTTTGTTAATTGTAAATCGAGCTTACCGCTCAAAATGGTTGTTGAAGTAATAAGAGAGTTTATTGTGAATTATATTGTTGTTGTTTGGGCTGTTTGGTAACTTTTAGTAACTTATGGGATGTAGTAAAAATAGGGGAGGTGCTGTCAGTTTTTTGTAGAATACTGGTTTTGAAATATGAGAGTTACAATGCTTATATGATAACGACGAAGTCGTGTTACTCATTGTAGACGTAAAAAGATCATATTGAGCTTGGTTGACGATTAGAGAAAAGATTGCAAAGGTATGTTAAGGCTAAACCTTTCTTCATTTTGGCATGATCCCGTAACTACATGTGTTTGATAATGAAGCATAATAAGAAGTTCATACTTCCGAATTTATATACATTGTCCTAGTCTCATAAGTTACAGTATTCTCCTTTATCGGGACTTTATATTCAATTGAGTATTGTCTTCTTCCAGTATTACAGTATTTTCACCACCATCGAGCTATAATCGGTGGGCAGGCCCCTATTGGGCAACCTCTGATCAGATGGTAAGTTATATACCAAGCCTACTGTGGTCGAGCGCCTATGAGCGAGCTCAGAATGGCTGAGATACAGAGCCTAGTATGGCCAAGCACCTATGAGCGAGCCTACTACGGTAGAGCAGTTACACATACCAAGCCTTATAGGGCCGGGCAGCTATTTTACTTACTATATTGAGATAGATGAGTCAGTATCAGCACGTAAGCATATCTTCAAATTATATTTGACTCCCAGGTACTTTCAGTTATTATATTATCTGTTCAATTTCAAATTTTAGTTATCTTGTTGCCTTACATACTCGGTACATTATTTCTTACTGACGTCCCTTTTGCTGGGGACGCTGCATTTCATGCCTGCAGGTACTAATAGACAACTAGATAGACCTTCCTAGTAGACAGAGTCAAACATCAGCTTAGTTGGTAAGCTCCACTTCCTCGGAGTTACTAGGTCGATACCTTGGAGTTCATTTTATATATACAGGTTTAGTGAGTAGGTCGAGGCCTTGTCCCGACCATGATATAATTCAGTTATTCCTAGAGGCTTGTAGACGAATCCTGTACATTTTTTTATATCAATATTGTGGCTTTACCAGCACTATGTAGATGTTTAGTTTGTTATTGTTGGTTACAGACGTTATTTTCAAATGATTCAGAATATGGCCTCATCGGCCTAAGCTGAGGGTTACCCGCCAGAGTTCACAATTATAGAGTGGTACGCTCGGGCCGAGTATGGCACCGGGTGCCGGCCATGCCTCTTCAGGTTTGGGGCGTAACAACTAATCGGTTTTAACAATACAGTTGAACGGACATCGGGAGAAACTACACTCCCCGTCCTTGCCGGTGGCATAACTCTGGAGACGATGTTCCACATCATGGACCAAGCCACCACATATAACGCCATAGTAGGACGACCATGGATACATCCCATGAAAGTCGTCCCCTCTTGTTTATACCACGTAATCAAGTTCCCAACTCCTTGGGGAATATTCAGCATACGAGGGGAACAACGCACGTCCCGGGAATGCTACTACATTGCCATGGATAGCATGACAACTCAACAAAAGAAAGCTAAGGAAAAATAAGCATAGCAATCAACAGGGTCGAGGTCGACACAAGAAGACGCTAGGGATGTCATTATTGACCCCGAAACGGTCAAAGCCGCGGATTCAACTATAAAAGACCTCGACCCTGTCCAATTAGATCCGAGCAACCCCAGCAAAAAGGTCTACATCGGCTACAAACTCCGAGAACTAGGTAAATTTAGTCAATTTTTAATAGTTAACGCAGATTTGTTCGCTTTCAGCCATGCAGATATGTCGGGCATCCCCAAGGAGATCGCCACACACAAATTGAATGTCGATCCATTCTACCCCCTATAAGGTAGGTCCGACAAAAATTCAACCCTACCATCAATGATATAGTCCACGAAGAGGTATAAAAGTTATTAGAAAATGGCTCCATCAGGGAGTCGAAGTACCCCAAGTGGATAGCCAACGTGGTGATGGTAAAAACGTAGAATGGGAAATGGAGGATGTGTGTAGACCTCACAAACCTAAACAAAGCATGCCCGAAAGATTCTTTCTCGTTGCCATATATCGACCAACTCATCGATGCAACAGCCTGGCACGAGCTGGTGAGTTTCTTGGATGCATACTCAGGTTATAACCAGATACTCATAAAAGAGGACGACCAGGAGAAAACCACTTTCATCACCCACAGAGAAATATATTGCTACTGGGTCATGCCGTTTGGGTTAAAAAACGCAGGGGCCACCTATCAGAGATTGGTCGCAAGAATGTTCAAAGATCAACTCACCAAGACCATGGAAGTATATATCGACAACATGCTGGTCAAATCCGTGAAGACAGAAGACCATATCAACCACTTGAAGGAAGCTTTTGACATACTAAGACGGTACGAGATGAAAATAAACCCAGAGAAATATGCATTTGGCATAGCCTCGGGAATATTTTTGGTTTTCTTAGTGTCACAACGAGGGATTGAAGTCAACCCAGATCAAATCAAGACTATTGACGGGATACCTGAACAATTGACTACTAAGAAGCAAGTCCAAAGGTTGATTGGTTGCATCACCACCCTATCGAGATTTATCTCGCGGTCGTCTGATAGGTGCCATATATTTTTCAGCGTACTCAAAAAGGATAACAGCCCCGAGTGGACGCCCGATTGTGTACGAGCTCTGCAAGAACTGAAGGCGTATCTGTCATCACCGCCTCTACTCTCGAAGCTTGAACCTAGAGAACACCTCCTCCCCTACCTCACCGTCTTTGAAATACCAATAAGCACGGTTCTGGTTCGAAAAAATAAAGGTACGCAATCTCCCATTTATTACATTAGTAAAACACTTGTCGAAGCCGAGATGAGGTACCCACACCTCGAGAAATTAGCCCTGGCATAGGTCGTAGCTTCACGAAAACTTAGACCCTATTTCCAGTGCTACCCTATCTCGGTCGTTACCACT